ACCCCAGCCCCAGCGTCCTGGCTGCCGCCCCGTCGAGGGGGGCAGCTCGCTGGTGTCTCCGTCCCCATCTGTGCCACACGCCTATCGCGTCTCCGGGACCCCCAGCTGTTTCTCCTTCTTGCAACGGGGTGAAGCCACCCTGATCCCACGTTCACATTCCCCTCGTGCTGCTGCGCAGCGTGGTGCATCTTCTGGTTGAGGCCCAGGAGCCCCATCTCACCCTGCCTGTCTCACCTGGGTGGTCTTCCTTCACCCCACGTTTGTGGGTGAATCAGCTGTTTTGCAGCCACAGCACCCAACCACTCCTGCCCACCTGCACCCCCAGGCGTGGGGCTGCGCGACGCGCCCCGAGATGCTGCAGCACCTGGGTGTCTCGCTCTGCCTGGTGGGTGCAGCCGCCAGCGATGCCGCCGGCTTAGCAACCCCCTCCTCACAGCCGGCTGAGTGCTCTGCTTTTGGGACCCTCGTATGCGCAGATCCTCCCACCGGGGAGATGCAGCTCGAAGCCCTTCACGCCCGCAGCATCATCCCATGCTGGCATCATCCTGTGCTGCCGGCGAATTCACTGTCCGCGCTCCTGCTCCGGCTGCCACCGCCCCTCGCTGCATCCACGTACGCCGGGCAGGGAGCTCCCACCTTCAGCAGGGAGCAGCCAGGAGCTTGGGGGCCTCCAGAAACAGCCTGAGGGGGTTTCAGTGATGGAATTGCTGTTTATCTGACTTCTGGGAAGCCGCTGCCCTTCGTCTGCGTCTGGCAGATAAGAAGGGCTTTCATTTTTAGTGAGTCATGTGCATGTAATTATATGTAATTCTTTGCCATTTTATGTATGCTGTGAAAATATTTGCTGTAGTTAATTCAGCACAAGCTGAGATAGCATTTCACATGCGGCTGCATGCCATGAGACTTTCCCTATGGGATTTTCTCATCGTCGCCATCATCTTGCTGTGGCTGTACGTATAGACCTTTACAGCCCCTCAGCACTGTATTAAGGTGCACTGGACACAGAAGGCAAGTCCTCTCTGTGCAAGGGGGGTTCCCCTCTCTCTCTGACAGACACCCCCACACCCCCACTGCCCCTGGAAGGCTGGAAATGAGAAGTATGTGAAGGCAGAAGAAATCACACCTTTGTTCTGTGCCCCACCTTCCCCTCTGCAAACCCAGCTTGGAGATATCGACCCTGGAGAAGCTGTGAAGGTCCAGGATGAGCTGCTGGGTCCTCCCTTCTTATGGGCAGTAATGTGGCATGTGGAGACTTCAAGGGCCTTGGATGGTGCTTTCAGATTTCAGAGTTGCAGAGTATTGGGAGGCAGTTGCCTGGACCCCTCTTTAAACGAGGCTGGATACCTTTCTTCCAGAAGCTGGACTGAATCGTGCCTTTTAGAAAACCTCTCACCTTGGGGGTGCACGGGAAGGAGCAGTTGGGGGACTGAAAAGTCCTTTCTCCACTTAATCTGTGAATTGATTAATTCGAGCTGCATCCATTCCGGTGAAGCTGCCAATGGTCAGAAGATCTGGTTCCTCAGGAGCAAAGTCTTTAAATACTCCCAGCTCTCCCAAGTGAGCTCTGGAGATGGTACGTGTTGGTGTACGACAACAGCTGGGACCGGGTGCTGGCGGTGCCCCGTGGAGATGCACCCGCTGAGTGGTGATCGCCAGCGGAGGCTGAAGCGATGGGACACCCCTCCGCGGGGAGACGGACCTGCCTTGCTCGGGTTCCTGAAGCGTCCCCGTCCCCTGCACGCACAAATCCCAGCGGTGCGGGCAGGGCTGTTCCTCTGCCCCCGGCGGTCCCCTCCTGCCGTCACTGCGGCGTTCAGCCCCCGCCGTCACCGTGTCGTGGTGCGTTGTCCTCTCGCATGTTGGCTGGTGCTCTGGGAGATGCTGGTTTGACTCATTTAACCAAAATGAGTGACTCGGCTCCCAGTCCCATCTGTGGTGCCTGCTGGGAGGGGAAGGGGTTGGCTCCTTTTCTGGAACACAGTCAGGGATGGACCAAGAAGGTTGTGAGCATAATGGTCGATGTGACGGGTCTGCTGAAGTCAGCCCGTTAGCAGCAAGGCTATTTTTTAAGAGGGTTGTTGAGGACCAAAAGCAAGATACTAACTTTGGGACTACATCTAGGTCACTGCGTACGCCTGAGGCTTGATTTCACACCAGAGTCCAAACTCCATACAGGTCTTGCTGGTTTGTGGTGTGTCGGGGAAGGGGAGGTGATGGAGAGATGGTCCATCAAGCCCTGCCCACACAGGAGGTGTGACGGCAGCTGGCCGCAGCGGTGGAGCTTTGGTGTGGCTGTTGGCGCACGAGCTGTTGGGCAGATAAAGGCTCTACTTCTTGGAGCAGTGGTGCTTCTCCCCTTGAATTATGCTGCAGGCAGGCACCGTGCCTGGGGGAGGCCGAGCTCGGTCTCTGGGCATCTGTCCCGACACCCGTCTGGATGAGGCCTCACCTTCAAATGGCTCGGCAGCCGCCTCGCTGCGCGGCGGCCATGCAGATCTGCAGCTCATCGTCCTACCCCACCGCGGGGCCTGGGTGCTGCTTCCACTTCGCGCTGTTCCCCCATGAAGGGTGTCCCCACGAACCCTCTGCTTTGTGCGGCACGGAGAGCTCGGGTGGGGATCTGCCAAAGCAAGAGGGACCGGTCAGTCGCGTTGAGGGAGGGAGAGCCGGGAACCAAAAAATCTGCATCCCAGAAAATGCTGGCAAAAAGGAAAACACAGCTTAAAATGCAAGCCAAATACACACTCGAAATCAAAAACAGGAGGGCAAAAAAAAAGTATTTTTCTCAGCAGCCACAAGGTCTAAACACTCCTGCATCTTGCATATTAATGTAACCATGATCATCACATAATGAAAAATACCAGATGGCATTAGATTTGTAAGAAGTTCACAGGGTCTGATGACCCTCCCACCTCGCCCTGGCTGGGCTGCCTCGGCTGTTACGAGTGATGGATGGAGAAGGACAGCTACAGCTCCAAGCCAAGCAGCTATTTCTGATGTGAGGAAAGCAAAGCAAAATGTCTCCTTTCTGCTGTGCTCTGTCTGACCCACTAAATTCGGCCAGCTCCCACCTGCAGGATGCTGCCTTTCCTCCGCACGGCAAGCAGTAACTACTCCAAAATTATTATTTATAGTTTGTACTGGTTTCCTCCTCTCTGCACTCCCCCCTGCTCGTTCGGGCAGATTTGTTTCCACCGCATATATTGTCAATTGGCAGATTTGCATTTAATCGCCTGAATCTGGAAGCACCAGAAGACCAGAGCCCTGTGGCTCCCCTTGGCCCTAAGCATCCTCCTGGGACTTGCAGTGTAAATGTGCTGAGGTCTAAGACATCACCACTGCAAAGCCTCCACCACGATCACCCACAGCTGCTCGTTCCTGGTCCAGGCAAGGGCTGGTGACTCCCCTTGTTCAGCCCTTGGCTCCGGGGCTGCTCTTTATTGCCACGGCACGACGGACTCTGAGCCATCTCCCCCAAAACCGGGGGGCTGTGAATCCACAAGGCAATGGGGACACTGCCGTGCTCTGCAGCAGAACCCCCCATGAGTGCTGGGGTCTGGTGGAGGTGGTGGATGCAGCACTGGGACGGCGACCTGGAAGGTGCGGGTGCATGTTTTAGGCAGGTGCCAGCCTCTCAGGTGGATGTGATGTATCCTGCATCAGGCTTGGCTAATTGCAGCTTTCAGGGGATGAAGGACGTGGCTGAGGGGTGGATAAGCCAGGTGAAAATGTCCCTGTCGGTGAGCTGGTCCCAAGGCTCGCTCCCAGCCTGGTCTGGAAGGGGACCGGCAGCGGTCAGCCGTGGTTTCAGCTCCCAGCTCAGCAGGATGGACCCCCCGGAGCCAAAGGCCTCCAGATCCTGCTGGGCTGGGGATGTGGAAGCACAGGGAGCTCCAGGAGATTTTGACTATGGCGAACCACTGGATTTCATCAGCCAGGCTTGAAACAGGGGACGAGCTCTGCTCCACGAGCTGGGTCACCTGCGCCCAAGCAGGCTCTGCCTAAGGGCAGGCTTAAACACCCCCTTCCCATTTGTGTTTGTTGCCCTGAACTTTGCTGCTGCCGCGCCGACGTCCATGCTGCAGGCTGGGCTGTCGCTGAATTTCCTCCCCCTCTTTCCTCTTGCCTAACCTAAGTGCCTGTGCAAGCATCGCTGCGTCTCCTCCCTTCCCGGGGTCACAGAGAGCCCAGAAGCATCTGCTCCTTCCTCCTCCGGAGGATCAAACCTGGTCGCCTTTCCCCTGCTCCTCGTCTCCCGGCTGGGTTTGGTCCAGGCGATCCTTTGGAATGGGGGTGGTCGGGTGCTCTCCTGCCCGCAGCTCCCGCCGGCTGCCCTCGGGAGCCCTCGGTGCCGGCTAGCTCTCGTCTTCGGGGCCGGAGAAACCCCGCTGGGGACTGCCCGTTCAGCCCAACTCCTCACCCACATCACTTCTCCTGGAGTTAATCCGCTTGGGCAAACTGAAGGACTAATCCTCAGATTTCTGGTTTTCTCCACCAGAAACCAGTGACCTGGAATGGATTCAGCAGCTTCCAGTTTCTCTGTCCCTCATCAACATGAGGACCGAGGGGCAGAAAAGCTGCCGTACGAAATCAGTCCAGGGTCCAGCTCTGCACAGTCTCTCTTGATGCTTCACATCACGATGGGTTTCTGGTGTGAAGGCTAAAATTCACACTGGGTCCAGCAGAGACAGGAGCTCACCCCCAGTGAGCACTGCTGAGCTCTGCTGGGATTTGTGGTTTGTCTCATGCTATACTTTATTCTTCAGGTGTTTTTAAATAGAATATCAAAGACCCCTATGGCAGCTGTCAGTCACACTGGCTTCGGACCCAGAACGTTCATCCTTGTTCGACTCCCAGGCATGGAGAGGTCTTACCTCTGGACTTCCCTCCCCTTCTTTTCCACGTATGTTATTGCACTTCTAGGCAGCTTCATCTTGTTCTTTATCATGTCAAGATAGCGAAGCCTTCCCGAGCCGATGTACCTTTTCCTTTTTGCATTACCAGAGTTGCTGTTATCAACCTCCACGGTGCCCAGGACGTGAGCTGTTTTCTGCGTCAGGGTGAGGGACGTTTCTTTCGGTGCCTGCCTTGCCCAGCTGCTTCTTGTTCATTTTAGTTTTGTTGCCAAGTCAGCGATTCTGCTGCCCATGGCATTTGGTTGGGACGTTGCCATCTGCAATCCCTGAGATACACGACTTTATTGACCCACCCAGTCCCACAGAGATAGAGCTGGCAGCTTTGCCAGCCGTCTCCGCATCGTCCTCCCCTTCGTTTTTCTACTTCGGAGGCGGCTGCCGTGCTGCAGAAGCCGCATTATCCCTCACTCCTGCTGCGAGCGTTGGGTGTTGCTGGGCTGGCCCACGCGAGCGGAGAAGTCAATGTCGCGTGTGGTTTAACAGTTGCCCTACTGCCAGCCGGGATTATCACCGTCTCTTGCAGACCGATTCTCAGGGTCTTCCAGCCCACCCAGGTGCCCATCTCCAGGCGATCAGCACCGGGGCTTCCACCGTGGCACCACTGTGATGTTCTACACATTGTTGTACAAACGCCGGCATTTTCTCCTTCTTCACCCACCAGTTTGGTGGTCACAGCATCCCCACCACACGTGCGCTCTCCTGGACAATGTCGACGTGGCTGTTCCCCCGTGCTAAACCCCATCACTTATGGAGTGAAAACCAAAGGGATTGGTGAAACAGCGATGTGCGCAGCCTCCAGCCTGCGACCCTCGTGTCTGGGCTCTGCGGGGCACCAAGGCCAAGGATCACCCATGCAAATCATCCTTGTCGTTAAGGGGTCTCCAGGGCAGGGATGAGGCTCCTGACAGCGGGCGGAGAAGGACAGTCCCAGCAAGCAGCGACTGCAGAGGAACGTGAGCCGCAGCCCTCCGGGTCTGCAGGGCGAAGGAGCCAGCATCTCTCCTACCCTCCAGCCTGTCCTGCCGGCGCGTTTTCCACCCCCAGCCCTTGCTGTTCCAGGCGGTCCTGGCTCTGTGACTGTGTCCTTCCGCACCCCGTAGCACGACTGACTTAGTCTCCTGCGATATGGAAATGCACTGCTTTTTCACAGGATTTCCCTCCGCCTTGGGGGCAGCTTCTCTGTGTCTGTCCTGTCACGCCCCAGGAAGCATTTCACAAACCCTTGAATTGGGAAGCAGCGGCCAAAGGAACTGCTGGATCGTGTTGGACCATCCCGGCTTTGGAGGACGCTAGGCTGAGCCTGCAGCGAACAGCGTGGGCAAGGCTGCCAGCGCGGAGCATGAGCGTGGCGCTCGCCCAGCCCTGTGGGGAAGGATGCCAGAACGTGACATCCTCATTGCTGAGGGATGTTTTTGCTGTTTTACTGAGATCAGTTTGGGCAATGACAATGGGAAACGGGTTGCTAAAATTAACTGCTTGGGAGGAATGCTTTGTCCATATAAATGGAATCAAACCTTTGTACTGCCAGATATTATAACAAAGAACAAGGAGGATCAGTCTGCAAAAAGCAATGAGCCGTGGCTGGAGATCTAAAAGGCTGGTAAATCCCTGTTGCTTTTGAAGGTGTCAGTGCCTGTGTGATTTTATTGAACTCAGGCTTTGCTGAGGGATAGCTCTGCAGTGATAACGATGCTGTTAATAGTAATTACTTCCTATCTTAGGATACATATTTTGTCCTTATTAAGACTTAAGTATTTTTTATGTTTTGGTCAGAAAAGAAATTCTAAATATAAGGAAGTGAAACCTATTCTTGGTTGAATGCGCTCCAGACAAGAACACGTGATGCCTCTCCCAAACCCTTGTTTTCGTCGGGGTCTGATGTGCTGCCGTGCTGGTGTCACCCCCGCCGTGCCCTCCTGCAGAGCCGGGGCCGGGGCCGGGGCTGCGCTGGCGGTTTGGGAGAGGATTTCCCCAGCAGCACCCCCCATGCCCTGGACACGGCACCAGCGCAGCTTGGGGAGTCCGTGGCCCCGGAGAAACCACCGGTCAGATGGCATGCAAAGCAAATGTAAAATGCACAGAGAAGTCCTCCTGTCAGGCTGCCCCTCAACCTGCCCGGGCTCGGGGGGGGCACGGCCCGTGGTGCTGGATGCTGCGGGGTCCTCGGGGTGCAGTGCCCCGTCCACGTGCTGGGCAGCTCCTCTCCACGGGTTGCGGCAGGAGGCTCTGGCTGCGGTACTCTGCAGGTCCTGCGCATCAGTTTTGGAGGTTGTCTCGCTCGTGTTGCCCCCACACCACTTCACTGCGGCTCAACTTGATGGTTGGACTTGATGGTTGGTTCAACTGCGGTTGGACTTGATAATCTTAGAGGTCTTTTCCAACCTTAATGATTCTGTGATTTTATTCTAAGATCAGAAAAATCAGAAGGTGCCTGCTGCTCCTGCACAAAGCAGCTAGTTATTTAGTTATTTAGTTATTTAGTTATTTAGTTATTTAGTGAAATACAACACAACCTCCCACCAGGCTGGCTGGGGCCTCCCAGTGCCCTTCTCCCCTTATTTCCCTGTCCCTGTGATGTGCCTGCCCAGGGGTGAGAGAGGCTTCCCGGGAAGCCTCTGTTCCTCTCTCTTCCCATCTCATCACCATCCCTGGAGGTATTTAAAAGACGTGTAGATGTGGCGCTTAGCGACATGGCTTAGTGGGCATGGGGGTGTTGGGTTGATGGTTGGCATCGATGATCTTAGAGGTCCTTTCCAACCTCAATGATTCCATGATTCTGTGATTCCCTGAGAGAGGCTAAATGTCCCATTTTCGTGCTGGAGCCAGTGCTGAGCAGCTTCATTGGATTCTGAGGTCTGTGCAGGACAGGGCTCAGTCGCTGCTTGGGAGCTGCTCGGTCCAAGCCTTCGGGCTTTGCTGCTTTGGGCTTTGCTGCTTTCAGCCCTCCATTTTGTCTGTCAGGCTCACACTTGAACAAATTGCCTGGCCGCGTTCTGTCATCGTGGGCAATGTGCAGCACCTCTGAACACGGCTCCGTTTTTCAGCTGAGTCCTCCTCGGCTTCCTTGTGTCTGTGGCGGTGGGAATGCCTGGCCGTGCAGGGGACAGGATCCGCCAGGGGATTATTTCTGATGCCTGCCTTCCCCTTCCCAGTATTTCCGACACAAACTCCCACCTGGGCTGTATTACCTGAGCAACGTGAGCCCTTCGCTCCTGCTTTTCTTCCAATACGAGATACATTTTGTCCCAGGTGTGGGCGATCCATTGGGAGCCTTTCTCTGTGGCATTCAAAAACAATTCCCAGGCTGTGTTTACCCTGCGTGTTTGGTGCAGCATTAGGCAAACATTTTCGCTGTGAACACAACGTGCTGCTTGTAATGAGCCGGGAGGAGTGCCTTTGCCCCTGTCCGTGCTTTTGCCACCATCCAGGCACCAGAGGGGAAAGGGGTGGACATCAAGGCAACTCGCAGAAGCGTATCCAGTGCCCTCCCATCTTGATGTGACATGAATTGTCACTCGTTCTTCTGAAGTTACGTGACTTACGCGTGTCCTCAGTGTTCGTTAGGAACGGCCTCCGCTGTGCCTGCACCCCTGTGCTCTGCGGATGCGACTGCATTGCTTCGGCCGCAGCGAAGAGCCTGCGCACTGCAGCAGAAAAACTTCCAGCAGCGTTGAAGTGACACTGGCATGAACTCCAGCAGACCATATATCGCGATTTTCACCTGATTTTCAGTTTTGTCAAACCGATTTTCAGTTTTTTGAAATTCCTCTCAGGGAAGGGGACCTGTCCTGGTTCCGGCAGGGACAGAGTTA